GGGAATGTTGCTCACTGGTTAAGTGCCCCTGGGTTCAATCCCCAGTACCAAAAACTAAAAATAAAAAGAATGACTGAACTTTTCTCCTATGTGAATATAACCTCATGGACATAAGACTAAACTGTAAGCTAGAATTTATACTTGTGTCACAATAAATAATTTATATTTTGTTAGAGATTAAAAAAAATTCATAGCTAATAGTTGATTTTTGTAGGGGATCCAATCAAGGATTATGTATTACTGCATTGCTCACTCCTTCTAACTTCAAACAGTTACGCTATCTCTCTTTTTTTGTTAGTTTCATTTTGTATCTCATGACATTCGCACTGTTTAGAGAATCCAGACTAGTCTTGCAGTGTTTAGTTTCTGTTTTCTTGTGGCTAGTTTCAAATTTAACTTTTTGGTAAGAATGCTTCAGAGGTGGTGGTATATTCTCAGGATATGACATCAAAGGCTCATAACTACTTGTACTATTTCTGGTGATGTCAATTTTGGTTAAGGTGGCAGTTAACATGTTATCAATATGTAATTTGTAGGATAATGCATTGTGAGTATCCCTGTTGTTCAACAATCTTTCACAGTAGTTTTAGTGTCTTTGGCAATTTTTACTCAAATCATGATGGACGCTAAATGGTGATTTTCTATCATTGCTTATACATTTATTAATTGCTGCTCTTCCCCTTTTTTAATATTATGGTGGATTTTCTAATTTAATTTTGATTGAATCCATTTCAGGTTCTTTTTTATATTTCTCCAGTGAATAAATTGGTGGGTGCACTGATGACTGTGTTGTCCCTTTTTCCAGGTAAGAGAATGGTAATATCTACTCTATCCTTTGTTTAACATTTTGTTTTGTTTTGTTTTTGCACTACTGAGGACTGAACACAGGACCTAGTACATGCTAGGCAAGCATGCTACCACTGAGCTACATCCCCAGCCCTAATATTTCTGTTTTAACATGGCATTTTCCTTTTGGCATAGATCAAGGGAGTTCTGGGTTTTCTTTCTTTCCTTTTTTATTTATTAAAATGTATGTAAACATAGCTTTAAAAATTTTTTTTAATAGGAGACTTTCACTAAATAAAACAGAATATATAATTCTTATTTTCTTTCATTTTATTATAAGCCAAGCTGTTCTCCAATATTATGTATTTTAGGCATGATTGAACATGGTCTCAGTGACTGTTCTCAGTACAGGCCCCGGAAGAGTATGTCTGAAGATGCTGGTCTTCAGGAAAGTAATCCTCCTGCAGATGATTTTGTTTCTGGGTCAGCTTCTAACATGTCAAATACCAATTTGGGAACTGTCAAGAAAATCATAGCAGGAAACCATGGAGGAGATGCTTCCATCAAGACCGAAAAGCCTTTTTTCCAACTAGAACATGACAGCAGTAAAGAACAGGAACCCAGTGATACTAATCAATATTTGAAACCTCCATCTCGTCCATCTCCAGAATCTTCAGAAAGTGACTGGGAGACCTTGGATCCTAGTGTCTTAGAGGACCCCAACCTGAAAGAAAGGGAACTGGTGGGGTCAGACCAGACAAACTTATTTCCAAAAGACTCTGTGCCCTCAAATAGTACTCCAATTACTGTACAACCTCAAGCCAATATGGGGCAGGTGGTCCTGATACCAGGGCTTATTTCAGGTTTGGAAGAGGACCACTATGGCATGCCCCTGGCCATCTTCACAAAGGTAAAGTGTAATGTCTAGTAATAAAGACATTAGTATTTAACTTTCAATATTGAATACATTTTCAGGTCTGAAAACTGTCCTTGAAAATTGTAAAATACACACTAAATATATAGTGCTGTGATGCTCTGTGACCATAGTATAAAGCTATAGGGAAATAACTCAGAGGATTTTAATTAATAAGAGTTTGAAACTTAATAGATATGGAGTTAGAAATCACTGAATGTATTGGATATTTTTTTTTGGTAGGGGGGACACCAAGGATTGAACGCAGGGTCACTTGACCACTGAGCCACCTCCCCAGCCCTATTTTATATTTTACTTAGAGACAGGGTCTCACTGAGTTGCTTAGCTCCTTGCCTTTGCTGAGGCTGGCTTTGAACACTCAATCCTCCTGCCTCAGCCCCCTGAGCTGCTGGGATTACAGGCATATGGCACTGCACCTGACTTGGGTTTGTTTTTAATTATTCAGATTTCTTTTTTAAAAAGGATGAATTGAGGAAATCCAGTCTTGACTGCATGTAATATATATTAAAATACTAAAATTGTAGCCTGTAGTCCCAGTTTCTCAGGAGGCTGAGGCAGGTGGAGTACTTGAGCCCAGGAGCTCAAGAACAGCCTGGGCAATGTAACAAGATGCCACTTCAAAAGAGAGGCCAATTGTGGTGGTCTGCATTTTTCAGTAATCACTATTTTCATGAACTTTTGGCCACTTGGTTTCACTCTGCGCAGTATTGATCCAAACCTTCTGGATTGTCTCCCTTATTGTCACTGATTTGTGGAACTTCTTCATATATCTAAATATCTTTTCTGTTAATTTTTTTACTTTGTTAGTGCTTTAGGAGTCTTGTTTAGAAATTCTCTACTACCTCAAGGTCATAAAAATGTTTTCCTATATTATTTTTTTAAAAGAATTATAATTTTGAATTTTATCTTTTGGGCTACCTGAAATTGATCTTTGTGTATAGTAGGGAAGGGAGTCTGTTTCTGGACTCTTGTTGCTGTTTATTGAGGCATTTGTCTATCCCATACCAGTCCTCACATTGTACTATTACTATGTGAATCATTTTGGTAAAGAAAAGTCTTCCTGTCATAGCATTGTTCTTCAAGTGTTTCTTGCCCTTTACATTTCCACATCAGTTTTAGAATCAACTTACTGAATCCTCACGTAGATTGAGATTTTTGGTAGGTAATTTTGGAGAGAATTGGAAGCCTTACAGTATGGAAGTTTCTAGTTCATGAACATGCTTACTGACCCTAACAAGAGAAAAGATGAGAAAACAGCTGTTATTTCCAGTCATATCTTTATCTTTTCCATGTCGCGTGAAAAAATCACACTGTGGGGCTGGAGTTGTGGCTCAGTGGTAGAGCACCTGCCCCATACGTGTGAGGCACTGGGTTCAATCCTCAGCACCGCATATAAATAAATGAATCAAATCAAGGTACAAAATAACTAAAAAATATTCTTAAAACAAAAAAGCACAGTATGCTTTCCCAGCTCTTTAGATGAACTCTTAGTTCCATCAGATTTACTAAATTGAAATGTGTTTTTACTTTGTTGTTCAATTGTAGTTAAAAAAAAAATCAGATTTACCATCTTTACTAATTTTAAGTATATAGTTAGTTCAGTAGTATTAACTGTATTCACATTTTTGTGCTACAGATTTCCAAACTTTTATCTTATAAAACTGAAACTATGCCCATTAAATAACTCTCCATTTCCTCTTCCTCCCAGTCCCTGACATCTACCATTCTTTAAATTTCTATGAATTTGACAGTTTTAGCTCCCTCATATAAGTAGAATCATACAGTATTTGTCTACTTGTGACTGGCTTATTGCACTTAGAATAACCTCCTCAAGATTCATCCATGTTGTAGAATGTGACAGGACTTCCTTCCTATTTAAGGCTGAATAATATTCCATAGTATAAATATGGCTGACTTTCTTTATTCATTTGTTCATTCATCAACGGATAGTTAGATTGCTTCTACCTCTTGCCTGTTGTGAATAATGCTGCTATGAACATAGGTATGTAAATAGCTCCGTGATGTGTACATGGTGACTTTTTATCTTAGTGATGTTTGCTTGGTGATTTTCTTAGTGTTTTTTGTTTTGTTTTTACCATTTTATACTGCAGTTTCACATATGGAAGTTAAAGTGTCCTTAAAAAGTAGGAAACCAGGAGTGGGCTTGGATATGGAGGCTGCTTTATGTAAAAGGAACTGCACTTTTGCTACCACCATACATTAAGGTTTCTAAGATTTACACTGAATTGATCATCATTAAAAGTAATGGCACAATTTTAAAACTGCTTCAAAATATCATTTTAAACAATGTGATAAATGTGTAATACTCCCATATAGTTCAGTAGTTAAAGATTTCAAAGCATTTATAATAAAGTCTCTATAGGCTGGGGTATCGCTCAGTAGAAGAGTGTGTTAAGCACACACTAGGCCCTGGATTGAATCACCAGCATCAAAAATAAAATAAAAAGGATTTTTTAAAAAGTCTTCCTTCCATTTCATTCCTGCTATCCAGCTGCCCTTTACAATTGTAGTCAATGGTATCAGTGTCTTACATCTCCTTCTGGAGATATTTTATGCATAAAGAAATGCATAGAAGTAGGCACAGTGGCACAGCCTATAATCCAGGCTACTCAGGAGACTGAGACAGAAGAATTACAAGTTTGAGGCCAGCCTGGACAACTTAGCAAGTCCCTGTCTCGAAAAAAAAAAAAAAAATTAACTGCAATGGGGCTGGAGATGTAGCTCAGTGAGTGCTCAAGGACTGGGCATGCATGGGCCTCTGGGTTAAAAAAAAAAAAAAAAAAATGCATAGATTTATCTCCTCCCTTTTTACCAAGTGTTAACTGACTATGACTGTTTTTCTGCGCTTTAATTTCCTTTACATGATATTCCTTAGAGATGAACTTCATCACTTTCTATGGCTGCAGTGTGTTTCACTATATGGCTGAACATTTATTTAGTCCTTTATTCCTGAACAGTTAGGATTCCTATGTGTTGATATAATAATGTCACAGTAACTTTTCATAAATGGAATATCACACAGAATAGGTTTATCTGTAGAATAAATTACAGGAGGCAGAACGCTGGGCCAAAGGGCTTATATATTTATTATTTTTAAAAGTTTTTGTTGTTTTTGGTTTTGGGGGTGCTTTTGTTTGTTTTTTTCAGGATATCACTAAGTTGCCCAGCCTGGCCTTGAACTTATAATCCTCCTGCCTCAGCCTCCCAAGTCATTAAGATCACAGGCATCTACCACCATGCCCATCTAAAGAAGGTTTTTGAAATACATTTTTAAAAAGCTTATAACTCCTTTTTTTTCCTCTTTTTTGTGGTGCTAGGGATCAAACCCATGCAAAGCAACTGTTCTCCCATTGAACTATATCTCCAACCCCCTATTTAAAGAAGAAAAAATAAAAACCTACTTCTTAGTTTTGATACTGTTATTGACTTAGCCAAGAATCCCACTGTTGATAAAAGACCTTTCTTCCCTAACAGAATCGATTATGAAATGTAAGTTCTCTTACTGCTCTTACTCCCAGGCCCTCCTGTTCTCTTACTCCCAGGCCCTCCTGTTACTAGACAGGCACTCTACCACTGTGTAAATCTTTGGTAATAATTGACAGTTCTGAGAGTACCTTTATCAAGAGTCTCAGTCCTAACTGGGAAGCAGGTATTCTGTAGGGAACACATCAAGTGTAAGGAACATTCAGTATTGTAGAGGTTTTGTTTGGAAATAGGCATTTGTGGGGGTAGGAGGTACCATTTCTTTTAAATGCACGACACACAGCTCAAGCATGAAGCATGAGCCCCAAACCACCTATTTTGGCTGAGTGGTTCTGAATGAGGGGCACAGGTCCTTTCAGCCTTCAGTCCCAACAGACCTGGGTTGAGAAGCATTATAAACATCTCTATACATAGACATTGATCTGTTTTGCTGGTTGTATAGTCAGGGTTTTATTGAGCATCAAAGACATTATCAAGAATAAGAATAAAACCAAGTCATTAGACCTATATTCCAACTTCTGGAACTCTTCTCTCCCATAGTAACTGCTTAACAACCATCTGTCAGATACAGATGTAGTGAAGAATATGAAGTTATAAAAGATGTATCTCCTCTCCTTAGATTTGTTTCATGATATAATCAAGTTATATCTGGCATATCACCCAAATAACTAATTTAGTGTTTAAAAAGTGATGAGAGGTAGAAAACTTACAGAACTTGAGACTGAAAACAACTTCAGGGCTCAACAAATCTGTCCTCCTGGCTTCATACGCAAGTGAAACCACATGTTGAAAACTGTTCTGTTTAGAATCATTAAGCAGAAATTTCATATCCTTCTTCAGTCAGTCATTCCAGTGTTCGTACCTTTATTCTCAGGAAGTATGGGGTCTTATTTGTTTTTCGTATACTTAATGCCTATTTAAAGTTTAGCAATTGAACTGTAATTATCAAAGAAGTGCTATTTCAAATACAATTCAAATGGAAGCCAGTTAAATACACAACTACTACCAGGTCATTTTTGCTTTAAATAGCAGCAAGTATTTTTACATTTTTGCATGATTTTGGGGGGGGGGGGGGGGGGGCTGGTTCTGGGGATCAAACCCAGGCCCTCCTGTTACTAGACAGGCACTCTACCACTGAGCCCCAGCCCCAGTCCTGCATGATTTTACTAGGATAATAAAATAATGTGGTATTCTCATAATAGTACTCAGTGTTTACATGCAGATACATGTATTTTTAAATTTCTAACAGCTTTCTATTAAACAACATACTTTTTTAATGGGCTTAGTACTTCATTTACTGAATTATAAAATTCTATTTGTTAATTACTAGAGAGGCTTTTAAATTGAACCAGGAACAAAGTGATCAACTAAGACAACCTTCATGTTAACCACCTTGCCAATATTTAACCCCTCATGAAGAAGATTAGCTAATCAGTAACTGGATATATTGCAGTCAAGAGCGAAGATTCCCCTGGAATATTATTTTAGTGAGTCAAAGATTAGCAGATATAGAGACAGGCAGGGAGCAATAGGCATTTCTTTTACTGTTAGCTTTCCTGCTGTCAGGTTGAAAAGAAAGGCAGCTGTTCTTTATTTTTCTGATATTTCCTATTACTCCTGTGATCCACAGGGATATCTGTGCTTGCCCTACATGGCATTGCAGCAGCATCATCTACTCTCTGATGTCACCGTTCGGGGATTTGTTGCTGGAGCTACTAACATCCTTTTTCGACAACAAAAACACCTCAGTGATGCCATTGTGGAAGTACGTTGTACATCTAAGTGGGTGTACTTGGCCCTACTGATCCCTTTGTTCCTTTCTTAAACGTAATTTTAAAGGTATAACAACAACACTAGTAAGGATAGTGATTGCTTACTGTATGCTAGGCATCCTAGGCACTTGCTGTTAACTGATCTAATTATATTACATAACCACTCTGTGAGATATAGGTGTTGTTACTGTCTATGGATTACACCTGCATGAGCTGAGGAACTGAAAGATAAGTGTCTTGCAAGGGTCAAACAGCTAATAAGTGATCAAGTCAAGATTCCAACCTGAGCATTTTGGATCTATGACTAAAATGTGTTTATTGTTCAAATAATTTAAATCTTTCTATCCTCTGATTCTAAAAAGAAAGTTAAGGGGGCTGGGGTTAAGGCTCAGCGGTAGAGTGCTTGCCTAGCATGTGCGAATCCCTGGGTTCTATCCTCAGCACTACATAAAAATAAATAAATAAAATATTGTGTCCAGCTACAACTAAAAAATAAATATTTTTTTAAAGTTAAGAATAGAGATTTGACATTTTATCAGTATATAAAATTTAAATCTTTTTTAAAATTTTACAATTGAAGTAATTTTAAGAAAAAGAAATTTTAGACATGTTAAAAGTTTTTGGAAATTTTAGACATGTTAAAAGTTTTTAGGATGGAAACTACTTGCTTCATGGGAGAACAACAATAATACTTGAAAAAGCCATGATTGAAGTCATATTTATTATGATCCCAAATTTGGAAAGAAAACAAAGTTGTACACTGTCCAAGACCATTGGATATGGACAGGAGGACCAGAGTTGCTTCAGCATTGTTGGTTATATTGTAGTACAGAAGTTGGTTGGCAGCTTCTTGGTTATTTGTTTTATTATTTCTATTTTGAAAACCAATGTAGGGGCTGGGGTTGTGGCTCAATGGTAGAGCGCCTGCCTCGCAAGTACAAGACCCTGGGTTCGATCCTCAGTACCACATAAAAATAAATAAATGAAATAAAGGTATTTTGTCCAACTACAACTAAAAAATAATAAATATTTTTTAAAAAAGAAAACCAATGTATAAGTTACACAAAAACTTCTTTTTATATCAAATATTACATAATAAAAGATATTCTGAAGTATGCACTTAAAAGGAAGACTTTTGAGGAATTATACTTAAGTTCATTTCTATAGTGAAATAAAGGTAATTTTATTATATAGGTATCTATTTTTCAAAAATATTTAGAAACAACATGAATTACTTTTATAATTCATAATAGTATATTTATGCATGTATTTCCTAAAAACAGAAAATGAGTATTTTTAAACACAAAAAGAAAAAAGCTCCAGTATAAAAACCTGGCACATTTTTAGAGTCACCAATTGAGAATGCTATTATTCATATATTTTTATTTCTAGTTCCAACTTCCCAGTAGTTTTTTAAGTGTGGCATGAGTATCTGCATGAATGCCCAGATTCTGACTTATACCTGGGCATCCTGTAGGTAGAAGAAGCTCTGATCCAAATCCATGATCCAGAACTCAGGAAGCTACTTAACCCAACCACTGCAGACCTAAGATTTGCTGATTACCTGGTGAAGCACGTGACTGAAAACCGAGATGACGTCTTCCTGGATGGCACTGGCTGGGAGGGAGGTGACGAATGGATCCGGGCCCAGTTTGCAGTCTATATCCATGCCCTGCTGGCTGCTACATTGCAGTTAGGTAAGAAACCACTTAGCACACAGTCACCCTTTTTTTTTTTTTTTTTTTGTAATTTTTCATGTTGTAACATATATGATATTCTGAATTGCACAAGAAATACATATTTGTTATAGAAAACTACCTGTTACTCCTTTATATAGAGATAACTACTATTAATATTTGAATATTTTATCTTTCAGACCTTTTTATCTATGTATATATATATTTGGATCTGGGCTTTATGGTAGTATTTTAGGGATTTTTTTTTTTTTAATTTTTTATTGTTGGCTGTTCAAAACATTACATAGTTCTTGATATATCATATTTCACACTTTGATTCAAGTGGGTTATGAGCTCCCATTTTTACCCCATATACAGATTGCAGAATTACATCAGTTACACATCCATTGATTTACATATTGCCATACTAGTGTCTGTTGTGTTCTGCTGCCTTTCCTATCCTCTACTATCCCCCCTCCCCTCCCCTCCCCTCCCCTCTTCTCTCTCTGCCCCCTCTACTGGCATTCATTTGTCCCCCTTGTATTATTTTTCCCTTTCCCCTCACTTCCTCTTGTATGTACTTTTGTATAACTCTGAGGGTCTCCTTCCATTTCCATGCAATTTCCCTTCTCTCTCCCTTTCCCTCCCACCTCTCATCCCTGTTTAATGTTAATCTTCTTCTCATGCTCTTCGACCCTACTCTGTTCTTAGTTACTCTCCTTATATCAAAGAAGACATTTGGCATTTGTTTTTTAGGGATTGGCTAGCTTCACTTAGCATAATCTGCTCTAATGCCATCCATTTCCCTGTAAATTCTATGATTTTGTCATTTTTTAATGCAGAGTAATACTCCATTGTGTATAAATGCCACATTTTTTTTATCCATTCATCTATTGAAGGGCATCTAGGTTGGTTCCACAGTCTTGCTATTGTGAATTGTGCTGCTATGAATATTGATGTAGCAGTGTCCCTGTAGCATGCTCTTTTTAGGTCTTTAGGGAATAGACCGAGAAGGGGAATAGCTGGGTCAAATGGTGGCTCCATTCCCAGCTTTCCAAGAAATCTCCATACTGCTTTCCAAATTGGCTGCACCAATTTGCAGTCCCACCAGCAATGTACAAGTGTACCCTTTTCCCCACATCCTCGCCAGCACTTGTTGTTGTTTGACTTCATAATGGCTTCATAATAATAATTCATATGTTTGACTTCATAATTTTTTTTGAGATGGGTCTTACTGTTGGCTCAACTGGTCTTGAACTTATGAGATCCAGTGGTCCTCCCACCTCAGCCTCCCAAGTAGCTGGGATTACAGATGTGCATATCAGACCTGGTGCCTCTGGTATTTTTGGTAGTCTTTTTGCAAAAAATAAATCCCTTTAAACATGTGTTTTGAAACTAAATTTTTCTTTGTAGTAGAAGCATGAGCTTATATGAAGACAGTAAATACTGATCTTCATCATTCTTTTGTGAAAAATAACATTCTGGATAATTAAACCTTCAAATGTATACCCCATTGTAAGAAATAATATTTATTCCTATTAATGATTAAAATGATTTAAACATAAATGCAGTGTTAAAACTATCTCATTCCACTTAGGAAAAAATATATACATACAGTGGAGTAGGATTCTGACATGAACTTTTCCACCTTGGACATTTGGCAACTATTCACTAGATTTCTTATTGTTAAAAGACTAGTGAAGCCAGGTGCAGTGTCGCAGGTCTGTAGTCCCAGCAGCTTAGGAGACTGAGCCAGCCTCAGCAATTTAACGAGGCCCCAAACGACTCAGTGAGACCCTGTCTCTAAATAAAAAATATTTTTTAAAAAGGCTGGGGATATGGCTCAGTGGTTAAGTGCCCCTGGGTTCAGTCTTCAGTACCAAAAAAAAAAAAAAAAAAAAAAGTTGAGCTTGAGTTTTCTGTCTCCTTCAGTTATCTCTACCACTATTTTTAAAAATTCTCATGAAATACATATAACACAAAATTTATCATCTTAATCATCTTTTAATGTACATTTCCACAATGTCATTAAGTAGATTCACATTATTGTGACAGTAATTTTTTAATCAATATTATACCACCTTTTCCTAAGCCAGTTCTTCACACATAGGATATATGGAGTTGTTTTTTTTTAATTGATTCTTTTTAGTTATACATGGCAGTAGAGTTCATTTTGATAAAATTATGGTGGGATTCACTGTGGTATATTCATATATGTACCTAGGAAAGTTAGGTCAGATTCTTTCCACTGTCTTTCCTATCTCTATCACCCTCCAATATATGGAGTCTTAAGTCCAGGCATGTTCTTCATTTGTAAAGGAAAGCAAATTAAAAAATCCTTATTGGTCAGTGGGATGCTTTTAATTGTCTGCTGCCTCTATAAATGTAGCAGCTGAAACACTAAAATTAAATCTTGTAACCCAGTAATCTAGAATGAATCTCAGTCTTTACAAGTCTCTACCAGTCACTTGGCTTCCAGAGTAATTAGTTTAACTTTTAAACATATTTTCCCAGGGGGCAGTAAAACACTGAATAATAGAATTAGCTAACTTTTTAAAAAAACATTTAATGTGTATAGCATTTTCCATGTAATAATTCATTTCATCCTCATAAGAATCCTGGGGCGGGGGGGGGGGGGGGGGGGGGGGGGGGGGGCGGCAGGGGGCGGCCTGGGTTTGTGGCTCAGTGGTAGAGTGCTTGCCTAGCATGCATGAGTTCTATCCTCAGCACCAAATAAATGTAAAATAAAGATATTGTGTCCACCTAAAAATAAAAAATTTTTTAAAATTAAAAATTTTAAAAAAGAATCCTGGAGGTAGATACCTTTTTTCCTCTCCCAACCCCCAACCCCCACTTTGTATGCAAGACAGAATGAGGCAGAAAGAGTTGAATAGCTGGTTCATACATCTGGTAAGAAATGGCTAGAATTTCTTTTTTTTTTTTTATTAGTTGCTCAAAACATTACAATGATCTTGACATATCATACATTTGATTCAAGTGGGGTATGAATTCTTTTTTTTCTACGTGTACAGATTGCAGTATCACATTGGTTTTACAGCCACGTTTATACATACAGCCATATTAGTGTCTATTGTATTCTGCTACCCTTCCTATTCCCCCCTCCCCTCCCTTCCCCTCCCATCACCTCTCTCTACCCACTCTATGACACTTTTCTCTCTCTCTTTCTCTCTCTCTTTTTTCTTCCTCACACCATCTTATATGTAATTTTGCATAACAGTGGGGGTCTCCTTCCATCTTCCCTGTGATTCCCCTTCTCTCTCCCATTCCCATGCATCTCTCATCCCTATTTAATGGTAATCTTCTTCTCATGCTCTTCCTCCCTGCTCTGTTTTGAGTGAAACAGCTAGAATTTCAACCCAACAGTCTGGCTCACGCCCAGGTCTTATCAAGGAAGAGAGCAAATTGAGCCCAATGAGCTGCTTGAGGAATATATTCTTAGAACACCACCTTTATAATCCCTGAAGTTCGGGAGGCTGAGGCAGGCAGATGATGAGTTCAAAGCCAGCCTCAACAAAAGCGAGGTGCTAAGCAAGTCAGTGAGACCCTGTCTCTAAATAAAATACAAAATGGGGCTGGGGATGTGCCAAGTGGCTGAGTGTCCCTGAGTTTAATCCCCAGTACCCTCCTGCCAAAAAAAAAAAAACACCTTTATACTGCAAATGGAGCTTCCTATCTCCTACTCTTCTTTTTCTAGCAACAGAAGGTACTTGTATTTTACCTTCACAGCAAACAACATGCAGTTAATACATAAAGCAATAGCCATTTGAATCTGTTCTCCATTTTCTGTTCTTCCAAGTGGAAGAAATGCTCTGCTTTGAAAACTTTGAGCATTAAGTATGAAAATCCCCATTTATATTATTTTTAAGTATTAGCTCAGTGGTAGAACTCTGGCCTTGCACAAATAAAGGAATTATGTCTATCTACAACTAAAAATATGTTTTAAAAAGAACTAATATATGTATTCACCTTATTTTTTGTAGAAAAATAACATTTTTGCAAAGAAAGATATCCTAACTGCCTTCTCCATATGTATAAACCAGTATGTTTATTCACAATCAAATAAATAGTTTTTGTTTAATAAATAATGCTGTTCTTGTAATAGTAAAGAGAACAGGGAAACATTTTGGAGTTGTAAGGAACCTTAGAAAATATCTGGCTCAACCCTCTTATTTTCCAGTTAGGAAAATGAAGTTCTGAGGGATTAAGTGACTTGCCAAAGACCACATAGCTTCTTAACAGGATTCTGGAACTAGACCCAAGTTTCCTGACATCTGGTAGGCCATCTCCCAAAACAAGTTGGGGGAGCGGGGGATAAAGCCATTCCTTCACCCTTTATGGTTGTTAATCTTCACATCTGTGAAAGGCTACAGACAGGATCAACTTCTTTCAAATATTTACTTGACAGATAATGAAAAGATATTATCGGACTATGGGACAACTTTTGTTACAGCATGGAAGAATACTCACAACTACAGAGTATGGAACAGCAACAAGCATCCAGCACTTGCAGAAATAAATCCAAAGTAAGCACATCCTCTGAAGACTGATAGTACATAAAATGGTTTCTTTACTAAGTATGCCCTATACAAAGAAAACTATGTCTTAATTTTGATGTTGTGAATATCTTCAAGAATCACATTAAATAGTTTTTTATTAAAAAGCTCATAGAAGTGGTGGTATACACCTGTGATCCCAGGGCATATCTCACTCAACCAGGAATGCTAAAGCAAGAAGATAAAAAAGTTCAAGGCCAGCCAGTGCAATTTAGTAAGACCCTGTCTCAAAACAAAATATGAAAGGGCTGGAGATGTAACTCAATGGTAGAGCACCACTGAGTTCAATTCCTGATACCTGCACCAAAAAAAAAAAAATCTACATACAGAGAAGCAGCTTAAAAACTGTTTTCATATTCAAAGTCTTTATACAAAAAACACAAGATATTATTGGAAGGATTAACATTTCTCCAGCATTGATGTGGTCATAGTGGAAGTTCTTATCATGGTGATGCTCTCAACATTATGATCTTCTCTCACTTTCCCTAGAGCTGTACTTCAACTGAGTGAGCAAACAAGATCAAAGTTTAGAAGGAAATATCTGAGATTCTAAAATGCAACAAAATTTAATACCTGCCACAATACTAAATGTTGACTGGACAAACTATCCCATGTAGACATAAAAGATATACTATGGAGTGATACAGTTATGAAATAACATTTGGGTGTGAATACAACAGAGTAGACTCCTAGGAGATCGATTGATGTAATTCATACATGCTGGGAACTTATGTTTAAAAGATTTAAATGATGTTGTCTTTAATGATATAAGCATACCTGACTGGTTTTGTATGTGTGTATGTTTGTGCATTTTAAACTTTTACTTCTTGGTAAGAAATGGACACATGTGTGAGACCCTGGGTTCTCCAGTATTGCAGAAAAATCCCCAGTACTTAAAAAAAAAAAAGGATAGGCATTGTGGCTCACACATGTAATCCCAGCAACTCAGGAAGTTGAGGGAAGAGGATCACAAATTTAGGCCCAACCTCAGCAATTTAGCAAATCCCTGTCTCAAAAAGAACTGGGGATATAGCTCAGTGGTAAAACACCCCTGGGACCCAGGTTTAATCCCCAGAATCAAAAAAAAAATTTTTTTTTCACAGAGGGTCAACTTTTTACTGACTGCCATCCTACTTGGGAGCAAGGATTAATTTTATTTAACTAAGGATGTGATTTAAATGGTCCTAAAAAGGACACCCCTGCACACATACCCAGATATTTAAGCGGTAGTGACCTGGGGAAGCGTGTGGGGGTAAAGTGATGTGGAAGAGTTTGGGAAAAAATGTCTCTATCAAGAAAAATTAATAGGTTCAGTGCTAATGTGGGTTTAGTTATCATTTAGTTAACATAATGAAATGTAAGAGTTTAGTTACTGCTTCTGGTGCCTTCATCTTGAACCAGCACTGCAGACTGTAATGCAGGTCCATGAGAGTGAGTTTACTTGGAGTGAGTTTTAAAGGACTGTAAAATAGTACTTTAAATAAAATTTAAAAAGTTATGTAAGTTGAGAGGAGGCTGAAGAAAGACCTATTAACTAGGGTAATTGTATGGTCAAGATAGCAGATTTTCAATATTTTTACCAGATTAAAAACAAGAAATGGGAGCTGGGGTGCAGCTCAGTGGTAGAGTGTTTGGTTTGCCTAGCATGAGTGAGGCCCTGGGTTCCATCTCCAACACCATCAAAAAAAAAAAAAGAACAAGAAAAAAAGAATACAAGTGATAGTCTTTAAGTATAATTTAGAAATACTCCAAACTAATTGTAATTTTTATTATCAGTGAAGCCCTTTTCAACTTCTAAAGATTAGAAAAGGCCATTTTCAATAAGCCAAGGGCACATTTCATTCCTAAAATACAGCCTCCCAGGAACAGAAAGAATGACTATGTGATCTCCAAGGTTTTTCAGTCTTGTGATTCAGGAATTCAGAATTTTTCTGGAGGAAGAGTTACATATGCTTAATTTGACCCAGAGCAATTCATTGCCATTTTTTAAATAGCACTTATTAAGCAGCTATGGAAGGCTGGGGATGTTGCTCAGTGGTAAACACTTGCCTAGTTTGCATGAGTAAGAATTTACCAGGGTCATGTTTTGTTAGACTTTGACAGAGGAACCCCTGAATATGAGGTAAGGATTTGGATTTCTTTTTTTTTTTTTTAATATATTTTATAATTGTAGGTGGACAGAATGCCTTTATTTTATTTGTTTATGTGGTGCTGAGGATCGAACCCAGTGCCTCACACATGCTAGGCAAGCGCTCTGCCACTGAACTATAGCCCCAGCACAAAGATTTGGATTTCTTGACCTATTCGTTCATAGTCTGAATGTAGTCAAGATGTGTGTTTGGGGTTTTATTTTTGTTTTTGTTTGTTGAGAAAGGGTTTTGCTGTGTTTCCCAAGCTGGCCCTAAATTCTTGGGCTCAAGTGATCCTCCTGCCTCAGCCTCCTGGTTTGTTTTAATAATATAGTACCATTTTGAAGACCTGCTTTTTTTTTTTTTTTTTTTTTTTTTTTTTTTTTGGTATCAGGGTGTGAACCTGGGCACTTAACCACAGAACCACATCCTCAGTCCCTTTTATAATTTATTTAGAGACAGGGTCTCACTGAGTTGCTTAGGGCCTCGATAAACTGCTGAGGCTGGCTTTGAACTTAAGATCCTCCTGCTTCAGCCACCATGTCCAGCAAGACCTGCATATTTAATTGCTTTTTTAACAAAGTATGGATTTTTGCTGGTCCACCTACATCTCATGACCAGTAGCACACATTTATAAGTTGACTGGGATCGAGGTATAATTCATGACCAGGGCCTCAAGTCAGTGACTCACCTTTACTGTCCTGGTGAGCTTTTAAAAAATGTTGGTGGGCAGGCACAGCTCTATGGGATCACTTAATCTTGGAATTTGAGACCTACCCGAACAACATGACCAACCCTATCTTGATAAAATTAAATTAAAGAAAAAAAATAAATGTTGATGCTTGAGCCTAACCCAGACCAAATAATTCAGAATATCAGGGTACACTAATATAACTGCCCATTCTCCCAAGCACGCGTACACACACACACACACACACCCCACCCATTTAACAAGGGAGGAAACTAAAACTCAAGAGGGTTTGAGTAATCTCTTTGGGATCTCATAGTGTTAATAGAAAGCTATGACCCAGTTATGTCACCCCTGAGAAGTTTACTGATTTTCATGTGTGTGGTAACTCTTTGTTTTACAGCCATCCATTTCAAGGCCAGTACTCAGTATCAGACATGAAGTTAAGATTCTCTCAGTGAGTACCCAAAAAAATATGGGGAAAATTCTTTTGTATGAATTTATGCCATGTGTTTCATTGTTAATTAGGAATTTTGTTTTTCTGCTTGATAAACTGTGCTTTAAATAGTAACCACATATATGCATAACACTGTCTAGCTTGGCAGTGTGTATATTTCAAAGTAAAAATACTTTTGTTCCATGATAGAGAGGGAGGTTAATCCTAATAATAGGATTTGCCATTCTTATTTTGGTGAAGTACCTTTGGCAAACCACATCTATCTAGGAGATTTAACTACACATCCTTATGTCTTCACCTTTTTTGTTGTTGTTGTTTCATCTAAATCTTTCAGTATATTCTGAAAATTTGCACTTAAATGGTTAATAGATTTTATAACAAATAATGAATAATTTTAGCTTCTTAATAATTCTAACTTGGTATGGTTATAGAGTGATGAATGTATGTGTGCATGTGTGAGATTTTTTTAAATTGTACTTAACACTTCTCTCTTTTACTCAGTTCTGTTCAGAATAGTGAACGTGGCAAAAAAATTGGAAACGTCATGGTCACAACTAGCCGGAATGTTGTACAAACAGGAAAAGCTGTTGGTAAGGCATGCCTTTAACCAGGAACAGATTGGAGTTGTACATTTCTATTTTCTGCCCTCAATATGTAATTGATAAAAACATAAAGTTTTTGAGAACTACATATTACGATAATACAAAAGGGGTTTTCAAATTTTCATCTTACCTATTTAAAAAGTTCTTATCACACCAGATAATATAGGATTCATTAATTTCACACATCTGATAGGTAGTGACAAAATTTTCTAATGAGATCACTATTCTGCCACCAGGGTCGAAACTTCACCAGAGTTTTTTGCACCATTCCCTGAGATGCCCACAGTTCTTTATAAATAGCAGAGACTCAAAATAAAATGGACATTAGGAGCTGCTATCTTCTGATGTAGTATCACATGACAAAGAAAATTAATGAAACTAAAGGTTGAATTTTTTTGTTGTTGCTAAAGATCAACGATATTGCTGGGCATGGTGGCACATGCCTGTAATCCCAGTGGCTCGGGAGGCTGAGGCAGGAGGATTTTGAGTTCAAAGCCAGCCTCAGCAGCTTAGCAAAGCCCTAAGCAACTCAGTGAGACCCTGTCTCTAAATAAAATACTTAATGGGCTGGGGATGTGGCTCGGTGGTTAAGCACCCCTGGGTTCATTCTCTGGTACCAAAAAAAAAGAAAAAAATAGATCAAAGACATTTAATAAAACCTTTATAGATTGATAAAAAGAAGAAGAAATGCCAGGCACAGTGGCATATAATCCCAGCAACTTGGGAGGCTGAGGCAGGAAAATTGCAAGTTCAAGGTCAACCTCAGTCACTTATCAAGGCCCTTAGCTACTTAGCAAGACCCTATCTCAAAATAAAAAATAAAAAGGGCTGGGGATGTGGCTCAGTGGTAGAGCACCCCTGAGTTCAATTCCCAGTACCAAAAAAAGAGAAAGAGAAGGAGAAGGCACAAATAACCAATATTAGAATGAAGAATGGTACATCACTATAGATCTTACAGAAATTAGAAATAAAGGAACATTGTGAATATTTCTATGTCAACAAATTTGACAACATAGATGAAGTATACAAATTCTTTGAAAGACTCAAATTATCAAAACTGATGCAATAAAAAACAGAAAATCTGAATAACTTTATATGTCTAGTAGAAAAATTGAACTCAAAATTTAAAACTTTGCCACAGGTTTTAAATTTAATCTTGACCTATATGGCTTCACATTGAATTCTATCAAAAAGTATAAGGAAGAAGTAATACTAACTTTACACAAAATGTTTCAGAAAATAGTGCATTGAACTAAGGCTGTTATTGACCCAGATACCAAAGCCAGATAGATCATAGCATACTAAGTATGTAATTCTGCACCTAGCTTTTTTCACTTAAAAAAAAAATTATATGTTGACTGAGATCAAAGTATAATTCATGACCGGGCCTCAGGTCAGTGATTCACCCTTACTGTCCTGGTAAGCTTTTAAAAAAATGTTGATAGACAGGTACATTTTCACATACCTATAGTCCCAGTTATATGGAAGGATCACTTAATCCAGGAATTTGAGACCAACTCAAGTCACATGACCAAACCTTATCTTGATAAAAATTAAATTCAAGAAAAAAATAAGAAGAAAAAATTGGGTGGGGGGGAGTCCTGGGAATCTAATCTAGGGCCTCATGCATGCTAAGCGGTGCTTTGCCAATGAGGTACATCCCCAGCCCCTTTATTTTGAGATAGGATCTCACTAAATTGCCCAAGTTATGCTTGAACTTGTGATCATCTTGCTTTAGCTTGTCAAGTAGCTGAGATTATGGGTGTGCGCCGCTGTGCCCTGGCACTTAAAATATTTTGAAGATTGTTCCGTAACTATTCTAAAGTTATTTCTCATTCCTTTTTTATACTTTTAACCTTTCTTAATTTCAAACTTAGAAGTATTGTAATAGTAAAAGGAACTCAGTTATCTCTGACTTGCCAATTATGTTTTGCCTCATTTGCTTTGTCATACCAGTAGAGCATCTCTCATTTCTTAGTTCCCGAGAAAGGTTAACTGACCCTTACTAAACAGATCAAAAGCTCCATGTTGAGATCCTTATAGTTCCAACATCCTATATCCCTAGAAGGACAGTGAAAGAACTCCACGGGCTCATTTTAAAAGATAAACACAGGGGCTGGGGTTGTGGCTTGGTGGTAGAGCACTTGCCTAGCAAGGCCTTGGGTTTGATTATCAGTACCACATCAAAACATAAATAAATAAAATAAAGTTGTCATGTCCAACTACAACTAAAAATAAAAAAAGACAAACACAGGACTTATAGCTGTACTACAGGTTCACTTTGTTTTGTTTTGTTTTTGTGGTACTGGGGATTAAACCCAGGTTCTTCATGCATTCTAGGCAATGCTCTACCACTGAGCTACATCCCCAGTTCTTTTCTATTTTTAAGACAGGATCTTGATAGGCTGACCTTGAATTTATGATCCTCCTTCCTCAGCCTGCTGAATTGCTGGGATTACAGACGTGTGCCACCACACTCAGCTATTGTACTTGATTTTTAGTGATGCCACTGCTAATAATTCTAAGTCCAAGCCAAGCATGGCGGTGCACACCTGTAATCTTAGTGGCTTGAAAGGCTGAGGCAGGAGGATCACGAATTCAAAGCCAGCCTCAGCAACTTAGCAAGGCCCAAAATAACTCGGCAAGACCCTGTATCTAAATAAATTACCAAAAAGGGCTGATAATATGGCTCAGTGGTTAAGTACCCCAGGGCTTAATCCCAGTACCAATTAATAAATTCATTCATTCAAAGGCCAGTTCTCTTCTACATTCCCCTTTCTCAGAATGTGATTCAACTTAAATAATTTCATGTTAGTATCAACTTTTCAGGTAGATAGAGCTCTATAGTTGGTGAATGTAACACAGTGTTAACTTATAAAAAGCAAATTTCCCTAAGACAGCCTAACCACTCTATCCTGATTAGGTTATTATCAATAATCAACTCAATATTTAAGGTATTTTTAGGCTCTCCAAATAATTCTGATGCACAGCCAGTGTTGATATTAATACTGTATTAAACAGGTTGATAAACAGGCTGGTAGCAGAGGCTGCATGGCTCTTTTAGGTGTTAAGTGCCCCTGTCCATCTTTCAAATGCAAGAGTGGACTCCTATACACCAAAAAAATCATCCAGTTTCCTATAAGATATTCCCTTATGGAGAGGGATTGTTTTGAAACCAGAAATGTAAATGGTTATTTTCCTAATTATAACATATTGGCGTCCAGTGAGTTAACTTTATTAATGAGCATTGTTCTCTCGCTGACATTTTTCCTTGTTTATCCTTGTCATTCCACCCAGGTCAGTCAGTTGGAGGAGCTTTTTCCAGTGCAAGGACAGCTATGTCTTCATGGCTTTCTACCTTCACCACATCTGCCCCCCAGAGTCTCCCTGAGCCCCCCGATGGGAAGCCCTGAGGCTGGTAGCAGAGGCTGCATGGCTCTTTTAGGTGTTAAGTGCTCCTGTCCATCTGCTGCTCCCAACCTCTCCTTCACTGGCCCTGGGTCCACAGCTGGGGACTGAGACGTAGAACTGTTTACATGGACAGTTGCACTTTTTCTAAATGAAGATCACTGGATGCTAAAAAGATGAAATCACATCCATGGCAGGAATGGGCTTGGGGTTTAAATTGACTCCAGGTTCGGGTTTAAATTGACTACTTTTATTTCATTTTATTTCATTCTGAGCCTGATTAAAACACAGTGAACACACAATGAACATCTAATGAATTCTGAGATGTACATTTGTTTACTTTAGAAAAGTTTTTACTTATGTATATTTTGTTCTATTTTGCTATTTGAATATCTAGATGGCCATTATAATTTATATTTGCTAAAATTAAGTTATACTATTATTTTAATTTCTCTAAAGTTAACCCTAAAATGTGTTTATAAAGTTGAGAGGCCACACAGTCCAGCCTTTGTTTTCCTGAGTTAGAGGATGATTTTTGGTTTGTTTTTTCTACCCACAAAACACATTTATCAAATCATTTCTTCCCAGAACTGTGAATGTCAAGAAGGGGAAGTTCTGAGGTTAGGGTGTCTTTTTTGGGTTTTTTAATTTGTTCCTTCCTGACAAACTTGCTTTGAAGCAGCCAGGAGTGTCACTGTGTTCCCGTCCTCTTCCTAACCGAGCCAGAGAGTATGCAGAGAACTAACACAGTGATGGTGACCGTGGTGTTGGAGCAGTTTGACATGAATGTGTGTGGGGCAGTGCTCTCCAAGACCAGTGTGTGGCTTCTGTCAACCCTAGTCAAGTTACTGCCTTTATTATTATTTTTTTAATCCAAAGTTTGTGCCTTCTATTTCTTCTTTTGAATAGTTTTCCATTGACAGACCTAGACAGGTTTTTTTCTCTTAGCTTTGTTTTGTTTTGGGGTGGGGTTTTATTTTGTTTTGTTTTCTGTTGGCACTGCTGGAGATGGAACATTGGGCCTCACACCTGCTGGGTGAGTGCTCCACCACTGAGCTGCATTCCCCAACCCGATGTTCTTCTTCATAAAGCTTTTCAAGGCACTTGGCCTTCCCAGTTCCTTGACAGTCCTCTTGTAGTCAGTCCCTGCCCCCTTCTAAAAGTGTTTTTAAGAGAAAAATAAAATGAGTCATAAATATTAAATAGAAATCTCAACTTACAAAAGCAAGAGGCAAGGGAAAAAAAAACTACAGCCATGCCCTCAGTCACTATTTCATAAGGATGTCTGATTTTAGGTTGCCACGAGCATGCGTGTGTTGCATGCTGACTATCTGTACACAGCTAGCGCTCAGGTGTTTGCCTGCTCAGTTCATTTGTTTTGCACGGGAACTTGAATGATGTTCTCAGGGAGGGCTTATGGGGAACAGATTGCCTTCTCAGTAGCAAAGGACACTTGGAAATTCATTGTAAGTATAGTCTACATATGATATGGGAAGTATTGGGGAAATATGGGATCTAATTAAGGACACTGATTATATTTGATTTATCCCTTTTGAAATGTTTGTTTATAAAATAAATCCTCCTAAGGCATGGAAAATGAACATGGAGGCATAATCTAAATATCCCTAAATTTACCAGTTTGTGCTACTCAAGTCTTATAAATCTAAAAGCATATGTATGTTGGAACATAACAACTCAAGAATTCAGCCAGGTGCAGTGGCACACACCTATAATCACAGTGACTTGGGAGGCTGAGGCAGAAGAATCGCAAGTTGGAGGCTGGCCTGAGCAACTTAGCAAGACCCTGTCTCAAAAATAAAAAAGACTGGGGATGTGGCTCAATGGTAAAGCATCCCTGGGTTCAATACCTATACCCCTTCCCCTCCCCACCCCCCCCCCCCAAAAAAACTTGAGAATTCAATAATGATAAATTGAGGGGCTTAATGTGAGAACTTCATTATTTCATGTTAGCCAGAAAAATTAACCTCAGGAAATATTTGAAGATAAGAAAATAATACCAAACAAAACCTTAAAAGATACTTTAGTCACTGTTCTACTGAGACTATAAAGAATTCCTTCTAAGATCTCATCTCATTTCAAGGCCACATCATTAGTTGGAACATGGTGGTATATTCATGTTCAGTTGTACTTCTCAACTGCCAGGTCACATGCCAGGAGCTGAGAGCCTTGTGAAGGGTCAGCCAGCAAGATACTGGTTCCTCCTTTAGTTTGTGCCAGGTTTGTATGATGGGGGTAAACTTCCATCTCCCATCCAAAAGCAGTCCAACCCATGTTTTGGAAACCACTAAAGTAAAAATAGTTACATGAAGTTTAACTTTGCTTTAGTATCACCTGTTCCTCAATTGAATGTATATTTTAATTGGACATTCAATTAATGTTGCATGTTAAGGGTCTGACTCTTAAGTGATCACTTAACAAATATCTCAGAAAATAGAATTTTTATCAAAAATGGTCAGAAGACCATACCCACACTTTCCTTTAGGTTCTAGGAGATACTGGAGTTTTCAAGGCTCATAGGTCATTATATTCTCTGGAGGATCCCCAAGTTCACAGCATATTGAGGGCAGGAAGCCTGGCCCCTGTCCTGGTAGCCCACCTAATTGCGTTCCAGACTCCAGCTAAGTGGCTAGCCCCCCTCCAGACACTGATTCTGTGAGACATGAGAGGCCACTGGGACCATCTTTTGACATCACACTAATAAAAGGCGTATCTGTTGGTGGCTATACTTTCTCCAGTGAATACCAAGTCTTTTATGTTTAAGAACTGAGTGTTTGTAACTAGGCCTGAGGAGCTAGAGTCAGCCAGCTGTTCTAAGCACACAGGCTGTATCTAGCGGGAGGTGGTTTCACTGCTGTCCATGTGACTTAAAGTACTGTTTGGGGAAAACCCTAGGCACTACAATAACAACAGCATAGGTAAGACAGGAAGATCTAACACTGTCTGTGGGCTAGATGAATAGAAAAAGTTGCATGTTGCAAAAGCTTAGAATGATTTTGTGTATGTGTTTGGCTCACGTGACCAGTATGAATAGTGTATCCCCAAATCCTTTAGTGATTCACTAGCTCCCAAGCCCTAAAGAATTCTTATCTACTTTCACTTTTATATATTGCAGCACTTATCTTTGGCAGCAAACCAGAGATATGACCTCACTTCCTCAACCATATCCTGCTTTCCAAGTTCTATACTAATAGTCATTTAATGTTGTTTAGATTAATTTCCTTTGGAAAACCAAGGAGAAAGCAAATGAGGAAGAAAGAGAAGTGAGATGTGGTTGCATGACTGAGGAACAGACACTTAGAATCTGAATGAAAGTATTTTGAGAGCAGTATTTAATCTGCTAACGGTTATAAGAATTTTTTTAGAAGTTACAATTTAATCTGCTGGTAACAAATTTCTAAATGAAACTATGGCATAATCTTCCTAGCAGGCAAGTTTTGTTAATATGTTCTGTGGAGAAAAGTTTTGTGGAATTTAGCCAGTGGTCCTCTTCTCACCAGTGCTGGTGGTAAGTTTGAGAGCTCTTAGTGCTGTAAGGGCCAGTGTCCCAATCCTTAACCACAGAAAAATGTCTGCTGCCTCTCCAGTGTGGAGAGGAGCCAAAAGTGGCCTGTGAACTGTAACCGTATTGGGCATTCCTTTGGACTCTTGAAATGGCATGCTCTGAGTCTTTGGTCAGAGATGGCATGGCATTCATGACTTCCACCCATCCTTTGGTACCCTTTAAACATGACAGAGAACACTGCCCTGGTCACTCAAGGTGATTGTCATCCCATGAAGCATGTAATGTGCCACTCGGAGTTTTCTCATTCCAATCTTCAGGCTTCATAACATTGGAATTGTTCTTCCATAATTTCCAACATTCCATAAATATTTGTCAAAGACAAAGAAAAGGAATGTGCATCTTTGTTCTTTTCATATGAATGACTTTGTACACATAACTTCTTGCTTTCATTATTGAGAAGAAACTAGCTCCCTTCTGTGGCAACTCCAAAGAGATTGTGCATGTCTAAGGGGTTGGATATATTTTGTAAAACTCTAAATATGTTTGTATTTCTGTGCTGTTCAGAAGTTTACCTTTTTACTTATACTAATTAAAGATATAGAGACTATATATTTAAATCATGTAAATGTAATACAGTTTAGGGGGTTTTTCCAATCTTATTTTTCATCAGCTTCTCACACACATGTAGTATGCTGCTCAAATTTTTTCGTGTGCAATATAAACATTTGAACATTTCAGTCAGGTACTGAGCCAGAAAAGGCCATTGAAGTTTTCAGAAAGCTTCTGTGCTTAGAAAATATTTTGGTTTTTTTCTTAAAATATTAATATTTTATAGCTGGAAAATAAGATCAAGACTTATATGTTTCATTTGGTCATTGGTTCCTAAATTTAGGAAGCATTTGATCAATGAGTTAGTAAAGGCACTTAGTGGTTATAAAAATAGTTTAGATATTTGAGATGAAAGGCTTTCCACAAACAGTTTCTAAGAATGTTTAGCTTAGAAAAGTTTAAAAAGTTTTCTAAGGAAGTTTAGCTGTGCTACATGTTTTGATCAGAAAGATAGTTTCTCCTTGCTCTAGAAGATTTATAATTTGTACTTGTTCTTTGTTTCTGTTGTCACTGTTTTTTTTTAAAAAAAAGTATTAAAATTATAAATCAAGTCTAATCATATTGAATTGTAAAACTTCTATTGTATATTTTAAGAAAAAAAATGAGAATAAAATTATCCTGTTTGTCTTGCATACAGTGGTACTTGACCTGTCCTCCTAGACACGCCCTGCCTGTGGCCCTCTCATTCCTGGTGTGCCTCCGGTAGGATGCAGTGCCATCTTCATTTACTAACCAGCACACAGATGAACCAAAGGACTCATTGCTCATTTAATGCCTCATTCTGACATTGCTCACAGGAGGGAGCGCCTCAGCTTTCAAGTTGGTGACCTCCCCATGGCTTCTGTGGAACACTGACTGTTCAGTACTACACAAAGTACCAAAGAGGTCGTTCATGTGATAATGACATGTCACATGACTGACAGCCCCAGAGGAGTGGGATGCTATCCTGAGGCAGCCCACTTTTACACCTGGACTGCTAAGCTTCAAAATAGCCCTCAACATTTCCCTAAGAACTCTAGTACATTCTCATATATATGTCCATGTACTGTGGAGCCCTTACAACTCTTCTACAAACTGGGGCTTTGTGATGTGCATAGAAGCAGCAAAGGTCCTTGCAGCTGAGAATGTGTGCTTCTCTGAGTGATGGTACAGGGTTAAGTCGAAGCCACCAGTGTTCTTTGACATGGACCA